TTTTTTTGTGAAAATTTTCTTAGATGAACATTTCTGTCTGCACTGTGAAGTTTATTAAATTTTTTTCGTTTTCGGGGGTCTTTGTTTCAAAAATAGTTTTTTTTTGTTTTCAATAAATCCATTCCTCAACTTTTTTTTTTTTTCATTTAAGCGTCAAACTGTTTGGTTATACAGCTATAAAAAAAAGAAATAAAGAATAATAATAACAATAATATATATGTATATACAAAAAAAGAAGTTAACATAATATTGTTCTTATAATAATTAATCTATAATTTATGACGATTTTCATCGTCTATTCTATGTTGTAAGAAAATGGCAAGTTTTTGGATTTGTCTCGAAGACTTAGTGATATATACATCTCGGAGCATTTGCCATAAGCTTTTAGAATCATTTATAATTTTCCAAATATCTATCGATTGTTCTCTTGTAGTCGTAAGGAGAGTTGGCAATAATTCAAAGTTGATTGGGTATTTTGTAGAGTTGGTTTGAATTTTTTTCTCCACAATTTCCCAATTTAGCCCCGGTGGATTGTCCCAGATAGTAGATTCTTCTGAATCGGAATCAGTGTAGTCTTCAGAGTCCAGAGATAAATTTGCATTAATAGTATCTTCTGTGTCTCGTGTATCTTTGTTACTTGACCGAGGAGAGGTCTTGTCTCGCGAAGAGTTGAGGGATTCAGAAATCGATATGGAATTATTTTTTTGGAACTGTGAGGAGGAGGTTTTTTTCCTTCTATGTTTTCCTTTTTTCTTTGGGAATATTTTCAACGTGTTGTTTGAATCGCAAGTAGTAGTAGCAGAGGAAGAAAGTGAATTCTCCTTCTTATCGTCGGATAGCAGCGATGATAAACGTGTTTTTTTAAATGAATGATACGAACATTTTGCTGCTAGATGTCCATCTTGTTTACACAATAAACAAGTAGTTGATTCGGCCGTGATGAATACGTTAATTTCTTTGCTTTCTACCAAAGTCGTGATTCCCGATGGAAGTTTTTCGACGTCTCCAAAGGCGATAGTGCATTGTCTTCGGAAATTTTGAACATGAGCAAGATTCGAATGTGGAATATTCGCAATGGAAGTCGAGATAGGAGTCAAAATACTGATATCATATTTTTCCAATTCGTACTCTAAAAATAGGTTGTCAACTTGAGGAAATACGTGATTGAATATTATTCTAGTGGTTCTCAAAACGTATGGGCGAATGTGTACGATTTGTTGTGATACAATAATGTGTTGCTTGGTATAGATGAGTTCGTCAACAGTTTGTTTACTATCGAGGAATGCCAAGATTCGGTTGTTGGAAAGCAAGGTAACGTCTGTGATTTTTTCACCTGCGATAACTTGGAGTAATGCAATAATATAATCCTCGAATTCTGCATTTACAGTTTTATCAATAATAATAGCTTTTTGGTTGGTTGGTGGTTTATCCATTATGATGATTTCTGAGTAACTGAAGTAGACAATAGTGTTAACGTTCGTGATTTTATTATTTATCCTTTTCTCTTTTTTTTTTTTTAGAACCAGTTTATTTATTCTTTTGTGTAGTCCTTTTTTCCCGCCATGGAATACTAAATGAACTAGTTGTTGAACTATATGATTTATCACTTAAAAATCCATGTCAGTACGAACTGATGAGGGAAATTACTTTGTGATCAATTCAATTCATGGGAGCGTTTGGGTAAACACGTCTGTTCGGTTCGACGTCTCGCGTCGGACTCCCTACATTTTCAACTGTAATTATGTCTGTAAATAATGGAAATACAGAAAAAATGAAAAAAACTAAATTGGTTCATCTTGAAGAGAAGAAAATTTTTTGTTTGAACTTTTTGTTCATATCTCTTATAGTTTTCGAGTAATCCCAAGTTAAAGAATTAAATTATTAAAAATAAAAAAACTAAGGATCATGTTTTTTGTTTCTAACTATTCAGTTTTTCAATTTGAGTTTACATAAAAACTATAAGAGATATGAAGAAAAAGTTTAATAAAAAAATTTTGTCCTCTTCCAGATGAAAAAATTTAGTCCTTTGAATTTTTTCCGCATATTACTTTCAGAGATATTTATAGTTGAAAAAATGTGCCAATTGGTGCGCGCGGTATTAGACGGGAAGTTTTACATTTTCAACTGTAAATATGTCAAAATAATTCAAATACAGGAAAAATGAAAAGAACTAAATTTGCTCATTTTGAAGAGAAGAAAATTTTTTGTTTGAACTTTTTTTTCATATCTCTTATAGTTTTTGAGTAATCTCAAGTTGGAGAATTGATTTATTAAAAACAAAAAAAAACTATTTTTGAAACAAAGACCCCCGAAAATGAAAAAAATTTAATAAACTTCATCGTGTAGACAGAAATGTTCATCTAAGAAAATTTTCATAAAATAGTATATTATGTAACATGGCCGAAAAACGTTTTTCTGACGAATGTGGCTTTATAATCACATTCATCAGACAAACGTTTTTCGGCAATGTGGCATACATGATTTTATATCACAAGGCCCGAAAACCGCGTTTTGGCCGAACGAAGCGAGGCCAAAAACGCGGTTTTTGAGGCCGTGGGATTTAAAAAGAATTAAATAGACTCCGGTTATTCTAAAGAGTAGAGAATAAGAAGAGAAAGAAGGCATTATTTTTCTTCTCACTTTTACTCATTGACCTTTCATGCTGCACATCAGAAAAAGAAAATTCGAGGTGGCAAACTGAAAACCAAAACCGATGACCAGTGAGTGATGAGAAAGAGAAAGATCTATTTCCTTTCTCACTCTCTCAGAGCCAGTGGCGTCAACTTACGCGGGAGACCATCTCTTGGGCTCGGCATTTCCCGTACGGCGCTCAAGTCGCCGAGTACACCGACACACTGCGTACCCTTCCATGTATTGGTGCGCACGGCCGCATGGTGGGAGAGCATTTTACCCACGATCTCAGAACACTGATCCAGGTGTTAGTATACACTGGTGTAGAAGGCTTCGCATTCTTTCAACATATCAATTTTTTTTTTTCAACATATCTATCGTTTCTTAAACCATCTCACCGATTTTAACTGAAAAACAATTAATTAACTCTGATGTCTTTCCAGGCATTGATTTGTACACAAACCTGAATACATTTTGCATACATCAATCATGTATCGTATAATTAACCGAGACTTGATAAGCAATTTCATTTAAAGACACATTATCCACCGCGACGAAAAGTTATCTGGATGTTCTGCATATTATTTAAAAATAAATATATTTGAAGTAAATTCATGTTAATAAGTTTATTCAATGATTCAACAAAACCCGGCGGAGGTAGGCCAGTGTATATTAACACTTGATTTTTTCAAAATTTATTTGAGAATATGTTAGAAATCGTCTCTGCAAAATCAGTCGAAAATTCATCGAAACATCTAGAAATTCAAAAATACGTATCGGTCGTTCAAGATCGGGAAATTCCAGATTCCCACCATGACCAAGTGACCGATCACCGACAATTATCCCCACTTATCAGTCGACTTTTGGCAGCAGTCGCAAAACAGTTCCTCACCGACCCTCAACCGGGTCAGTACTGTTCCTCATCAACTGTCGATCAAGACGGTCGTCACTCATCAGTCTCAAATGAGACAAGTCACTCATCGACCCCCGCCAGGGTCAGTCGAGTCCATCACCAATCGTTGAGCTATTCAACAACCTTGAACATCATCGCGCAAATCGTTCATCTACTTTCGATCGTAACTCAACATAACGTTATCAACTATTTTATATGGATAAAAAGTTACATTGAAATTCACAATAAAAAAGTCACTTATCATTAAACGTAAAATCATCGACTATCGACAATATCAAATCGCGTTATTCAACACAATAGAGAAAGTTATATATACAGTCCATTGAATATATCGTAAATCACCACATGTAAATAGTGTAAAATAGCATAAAATTGTGAGTAAAAGTGATCGTTAACCAACTACACGTTTATATTGATTTTCACTAATCACCCCACCCCGACCGCTCTTCAGATTTATCTAAGAATCTAACAGAATATATGCAAAAAATGGGTCACAATCGTTAATCAACTCAGGGAAATGTTAACAAACCCATAGAGGAAAATCTCAATTTCTTGATAGTTATTGACGTTTCAATTTCCACTTCCGTCTGGCATGAAGACGCAAAATAAGCACAGGTGTTAATATCTAACAGTAGAAAATGTTGCTTCGATCATCTATCATAAAAAAACAGATCTGGAGGGTTAATCTACACTGGCATACATAAATGCGATACTGAAAAAATTAATAGATAATTGCAATGAATTCAGTGCATGAGTGAATAAGAAATAAAAATCTGTGTAATGGTGAGACATTTTATTGCGAATAATTTCTTTGAGATCAAATTATAAATGACAAGTTACTTAGATGAAGGTAGACAAGTAACTTTGATTTGGATAGGTCAAGAAAATTTACATCGAATGGCAGGTCTCTGAAATCGATACTTTTATGGAGTATTTTGAATTGTATTCCTTGTCAAAAGTTATAAAATTTTGTATGAAAACTAACAATATTTTAATCTTATGAAAACATTTTCATTTTCTTCGTTTTCAACCGCTCAGATCGCCTTCCAACCAATGATGTTTCCAGCACTACATCGGTATCGTTCGTTCGTGCCATCTTTTTCTTCGGCTGTGCATTTTTGTTGTTCGTTTGTGCCTTTCCTCTTTTTTTTTGTACCGTTCCCTTTTTCGCTTTTTGTTCTTGAGCCTTGTTACCACCATTGGCTTCTTCTGATGCAACATCGTCGCTTTCCTCAGCATTATTTTTTTTTAATGCAGGCGTCCTTGGTTTCATGTTATTTGCCCCTTGATTGATGGAGGACTCCCCAACGGGATCATCAGCACTTGGAGTTTTCTTCACCGACCGCGACTGCGAACTTACGTTATTTTTCACGTCAATCGTGCTCGATGAAAGCTCCTGGCGAAGTGCTTTGTAGCTTTGACCCATTATAATTGAACTCAACTCCATATCCTCATCACTTGAGTCATTCGCAAAATGTACCACTTCCATTCTATTTAACTGCTCGGTTATCTGCGTCACAACCGAGGACGAAGGATGTCGCTAAAATGAAAAATTTTCATGTGTAAGATGATCATTTTATCAAAAGACATGGGAAAACTAACTATCCAGAAATAAAACTGGCAGGCATATTAAAAGATTGCAGCTTACATCTGTTTCAATTGGGTTATCAGCTGATTCCATATCATCTATTTTTCTTTGATTCCCGAAACGAGCGCTCGGGGACGGTTGAGAATAGTCCGAGGTTGATGGGTGATTAGCAGATGCTACGTTGGTGGTCCATTCAACGTTTGGATCCATGCCAAGATTTTGAGACGTCTGAAACCATATTGAATAAAAAACATTGAGAGAATGAAAACATGAAAAGAATACGATGATCAGCTGTCAATACTCACTAACATTCACAGAACTATAAATTTAAAAAAAATGGAAGAAACCCATTTTTTAATATTTTGTCTAGTTTCTTGAATTTAAATGAAAACTATAAAAGCGACAAAATGGACATCATTTGCACAGAAAAACTTCAGAGAGTTAATAAAATATTCGTTAATGGAAAAAAAACCTTTATAAAAAAATATATTTTACTGATCTACGAGTTTTCACTGCTACTTCATGTTCCGATTGAATAAATGGCAATGTTTGTACTTGAAAAAAAAAAACTAGGCCAGGTGTCAGTACACACCAGCGTAGATATGATGAGCACATCGATGCTATTTAAACTAACTCTTTTGAAGCTGGGTACTTTTCTGATCTCTGCCACCGGAATGCTTGTGTCATTTCTGCGTTTATGAGACGTTGGAGACACCTGTCCGTCGGAGGCGAATGTTTCTTCATTTGATCCTATTCGTCTCCTCTTTTTCGAGGATGCGTAGCTTCTGCCATATTTCACCGCTGGCATTTCGAATTTCTCCGAATCGTTTGAATTACTGGATTCCACCAGACAACTTGAGCCTCGCTACTGGTTTACGTTCATTTTCTGCGTGGGTGACAATGAACAATGAGATTGAATAAATAGTAATGTTGATGTACTAACGTTTACGGTGACTTGATATAAATATTCTGTGGTCATAATGCACTACCAAAATTTAGGTGTCAATATACATTAGTGTATACTTTTTTATTTTTTTTAAATCATAATCTACTAACTGGTGTCAGTATACATCAATGTAAAAAAAAAACAGAGATTAGATAATGATAAATTTACTTTTCTTTAACTCACTTGTGCTTCTTCAGAATCTTTGCAGTGATTGTCTGAACGCAAAGACGTTGGAACTGAAGCTGACTGGTCCGGGGCATCCTCATACGCGTCTTCGTCTTTCTTCCCCTCAAGGACAAATTCGGCAGTTTCTGGAGGTAAACGCACTCCTGCAGACTGTGTTACATCACCACCATTTGCGGGAGGACTCTAAAAATTTTTTAATTCTTATAAATTTGAAACTGAATAGAAATCAAGAAATGGAAGCTCGACTAGGTGTCAGTATACACCAAGATTGGAAAGAAAAGAACTAATTTTATACTGTGGAATCTTACCTCGTCAGGATGTGATGGTGAGGGTTCCTGTGACTCCACCGCCAGTAGATTTACATTAGCGTTTTGTCGGCTGGGAGAGAGACCAGCAGGAGGAGAGCGCGAGGGGGAGACCACAGCAGGAGATTGTGAACGACTCTCGTTGATCGCATCGCTCGGAATGATCTGAAAAAAAGTGCACATGAGAAATTTTTGCGTGCGTCATAATGCACACTGAGATTGAATTAATAGTAATGCTGATGTACTAACGTTTATGGTGATTTCATATGAGAAATCTATGGTCAAAATGCATTACCAAAATTTAGGTGTCAATATACATTAGTGCATACTTTTTTGTTTTTTTTTTAAATCATAATCTACTAACTGGTGTCAGTATACACCAGTGCAAATATGATGATCACACTTATGCTATTTTAACTAACTTTTTCTGTGTTGGGTACTGGTTTTATCTCCACCACCGGAATGTTTCCGTCATCCACGCGTCCAGGAGACAGCTGTCCGTCAGAGTCATCTGGTTTTTCAGAAATTATTGCGCGTGCAAGCCGTCTGCGGCGTTTCACCCTCGGGGTCTCGGTCTTCCCCAAACTGGCTGAATCACTGGATTCTACCGGATGCCTTGAGCCTCGTTTTCCATCATCGCTGTGTGAATTGCTCCCTCTGCTCTCTCTGTGCACTTCAGATGGACCCTGCTCTTCTGGGCTCTCAAAAACAGCTTGTTTATCTGCTCCCTTCTTCTTCTGCCTAGAAGACTCCTGAGCCAAATATTCCTGAATTGTATCGGAAATGTCTTGTTGAAATACAGAGAGCTCGCTATCATCCATGCGTTTTATAGAAGCACTGGTTGTCCAATCTATTGTCTCCCTTGATGGAAATGGCGGGGTTTGGTACAACCTTTTCTCCAAGAGATTATTCCATAAATTATGGAACATTTGCCTGGTTTTAGGTGAAACGACTTTTGAAAATAGAACAGGAAAATGCGATGATTTTCTCAGCATTTTCTGGAATGATTCCAAATATTTGTCAATCAGTTCCTCACTGACATTTAACCCAGGACCATGATCTTTAAGGTTCATAACGAGCAGTTGTGTGCATTTCTGGCAATGATCAAGGTGAAATTGAATCTCAATACACAGTCCATACACTTACGTGTAACGCAGATAATCTCGCAATTTCGTCAGAATCAATTTGGACTTCAGAGAACGCAAATCCATTTGTCTCGATAAGATTGTTTCGAGAACGTACTTCTTGTACAGTGCAGATGACGAATTGTGTAACATCATGAGTAGTTTGTACGGACTTTTTTTGAAAGATGCTGGATTAAAAAAAAACATTATTTCCAGAAGCCCACAATAAAATGCGTGTCGCACATCGAAATTTTCCATCTCGAAGAAATTGAGAAATTTTGTTTCTTCAGACTCACACTCTGAATCGGACCTATAAAAATAAAAGGTTTTTTAAACGTCATATACATTTAAAAAAACCGAAATATTACTTACATGATTGATAGACTCCTGCTAATACCAGGCGATTGGAGACTGACTCTTTGAACTGCAACAAAAAGCAAAACAATAATCAAATATGGTGAAAAGGGTAAATTTAAAAATAGGATTGAGAAAACTGCATTCAAATGTCACATCACGCCACATCTTTTGGAAGTTTTTTTATCGTTTATAACAATTTTAACACATTCAAGTTCGTTTCACCTGCATCTCTATCTCTATCTCTTCATGACTATCTGTACCCATTGAAACCTGCATCTCTATCTCTTCATAACTATCTGTACCCATTGAAAGGAGTTACGTTCTTAATTTTTGAGCCTCCAGGACCATCCGTCCGAGAGAAATGCACGATTGTGCATTTTTGTTCGAAATATCTTCAATTTTTTCTCCCATCTCTAGTTTGCATTTTATATGAAAATCCATATCATTTTCTTGTAAAAAACTGTGAAATTTCCGAAAAAAATATTTATTTTTTTCTAAAAGTCTTCTTCATTGTCGAAAACTGCGATTTTTTACTTCAATCGGCGTTTTCGGGGCTTTTCACCACAGAAAAGTTGATTTTTTATCTTTTTTTCGAAAAATTCAGACATATTTACATCGATCTGGTCTTTGGAAAAAGTGACATTGCGGTAACAAATGGCGGGGAAAAATAAAATTGAAAAAAATTTGAGTAAATTTGCAAAAATTTTGGAAACATCTCATCAACATTGGATCTGGTCTGTTTTGTTTTAACTTTAAAATGATATTTTAGATACTTTTAAATCACACTGAGTCTCTACCAGAGACAATAATTCGAAAAATTTCACAATTTTGTCGATTTTTTTTTCAATTCTATTTTTTTCTTCTATTTGTTTCTGCAATATCACATTTTTCCAAGACCAAATCTGCGTGAAAAACTCTGAACTTTTCGAAAAAAAAATAAAAAATTCACTTTTATATGGTGGAAATCCTTAAAAATGCCATTTGATGTGGAAAATCGCGTTTTTCGGTCATCATAAAGGCTTCCAGGAAAAAATAGATAGTTTTTTCGAAAAATTCATAGTTTTTTACAAAAAAACTACACGACTTATTGAATAAAACGAAAAATAGAGACAGGAAAAATGTTTGAAAAAAATTGGACCCAAAATGCAAAATCATGGATTTCTCTTGAACGGGTGATCCCAGAGGGTTAAAAAAAGGGCGTAACTCTTTCAAGGGGGATAAAAAGTTGTCAAAGGGTACAAAAAGTTGTCAAATCCAAGACTAGGCGCCCGGTGACTATGCGACAATTGGTGAAATACGCCTATTATTGAGTAATATATGTGAACTATGGGATCACCGAGGAGACAGTAATTTGGCGGTTACAAAGTACTCTGACGCGCACTGCGAATCATGGAGGTTAGACTATCTTCCATGCTGCGACTATTCCCCTCCAACAAATCATAAACAAAATGAGACGTACTAACTTACGTTCTAACACAGGATATTCACAGAAGAATCTTACTGGTGAACTTGCAAACAGGTATGTTTGCCGCGGACTTGTCCACAAATAAAAACTGATAACAGCAGGTTTCTGTGGTTCTTGGTAGCTTAGTCGGTAAGAGTGCCCGGCGCGTATCTGGGAGACCCGGGTTCGATTCCCGGCTGGGTGAAGCGGAAATTTTTTCTCTCTAAATTCTAATTCTCTTAGAATTTTTTTTTGAACAGGGAGACTCTGCCCAAGTAGCACACTTGTCCGAAAAGTATCTACAAGTTATCTTTATCTGGTTGGCGTTTGGACAAGGGCAAAATGATGTCAATACGGTGGAGGTTGGATAACTTTTTTCAAGACATCTTTCAGATGTTCTCTGAAAGACAACTCCTACATGTTATTGAATGAGACGTGTCTGGAAGACGACTGAAGATCGTCAATCATGATCGATACCTTTTTTTTGTTAACGGAAAAGAGACGTTTTCTCGCATTCCATTACGGTAGACGTGAATACGGTATCTGAAAGTTATCCTCACTTCCAGCCTCAACGATACCGCCGTTTACGATATCTGAATGATGTCGATTTGACGGAGTACATTACGATAGACTTTTTCAGCACATCTGAAAGTTATACATTATCCGTCATTCAGGACTTATAACTATTTTCTGATTCCTCAAAGACATCCATTTTTCGATAACATGGGGCTGACTCTGCACAGTTATCTTAAAGAGGTATTTTTTTCGACGATTTGCAGAGGCCGGAAGTGGATGTCCAAGAGTGGTCTTATTTTGCTGGCGAAATTCATCCAAGTGATAGTTTTTATCTGATACCGAAAAGGTAACTATTCCAGGATAGTCACGTGACATATTCTGGAAACGACCACAAGAGGGTGTCCTACTGTTGACATATTTTTGAATCATTTATCGTAACATTTCATTGTCACCGGGTTGGGCATCAGATGGATACCTTCTGGATTCTTTTGTCTAGAGACTTTTCCAGATATTATGTTACGCAGTGTCATTTGTGATTCGGTTGCGCACAGTGAACAATGCTCTGTGGAATTACATCTGTAATCTCTCAAAATAATCTCATTGATGTAAGTAAATACTCTGAAGAGTGTGCTGAAGCAGAATTTCATCGAATTAAAATATTTTTCATCCATTCCCTATGTTTTCAGTGGCTAATTGGTAAATACTGATCAACTGCGTCATATGTATTCACTGGATCCAGAGTGACAGCGTGCATTGGGATAAAACACGAAAATTTTCATTACAATCCGCAAGTCTTGAAATATCTTTGACACCGTGAGTAATTAATTTTCATTGATCAATCAAGTTC